TCTGTGCAGTTGACTCAAACCAGCGCTGAGATTCTGTTCTATGATGTTAATGGCTATGTGTTGCACAGATGGACTGGGTCCAAGCAACTCTACTCAGCCATTTAAGCTATGTTTGGTTTGAAGGAAAAAGCAGGGAAAGGAAGGGAAAGATAAGGAAATCAATACAAGATTGGTAAAGGTCTCCCTCCCTTTCCTTTCCTTTCCCTACATTTTCCTTCAAACCAAAGGTAGCCTTAGGTTATCATATGCATGCAGTCCCAAGAAGACACTGTATGGCAAAGGTTTAGCTAATTAATGCAGGTTAGGTTAGCTGATGGGGTTTTGTGGATGGATGTTCCACAGTTTTATTAATTCCTTGTACATATTATCCTTGGGGCGGCATTTCTATTCTCTGTTGCCCATTCAAATAACTACTATGTATGAGAAAGAGAGAAAGCCAAGAGTTTTATTTTCTTTGCTAATAAAATTTTCTTTTTATTGTTGTAAAAAGTTCTATCACCGATTCTTATAACATTTACCAATAATATAAAATAATTTGCTATTATTTGAAGTAAAATCAATTAAAAATACTACTAAATGGGATGGGCAAAATTAAGTTTTGGTGGAATTCACATTGACACCCCACAAAACGCACCCCACGTATACATCTTAGTGTGCATTGAGAGTATCCATCTCCCATACTTATCACTAGGAGATACTCTCAATACACGGTTGGAATGTGCTGTGGGGCACCTGTGATGCATCCTCTGTAGTGCGTATATGTGAATTCGTTTTGGTGACCCACCCAGACCACTCATTAGGTGGGGACCCTCTAGTCACAACCATTAATCCCATGTGGCATGTTTAAGCCCACTCTTCCTCTCCATCCATGGAAATGAATATGGAGTTGGGAGTTGGGACCCCAAGTTCAAAGCAATCAACACTATACACTTAACCAAATTGACAAATTATCAACATAATAACCTGATAACCACAGAGAATTATTCTTAAAATTAAAGAATTCATGCAACTTCAACGATTGCAAAGATGTGGCAAAGTACGAAGCATGTTGATATTGACAAGTAAAGGAAAACAAAATAAAACAAATAGGAGAAAATGTACAACAAAACAAACAAAACCCTTGCAGACTCGCAGGATGAAGGAAAATTCGCAGAAAGTAATCTGGTGGCGGGTGAAGCCTTTGGAATTGAAGTGGTTTCAGAAGTAAATGATGGTGCAGTACAGAAGAATTTAAGTGCGATGAATGCACACAAGGTGTTTGACATGGAGAATGGTACTACGGACGTGGCATTGGCAGTGATTTTGGTTAGTTGACAAGGAATTGGAAAATGAAGTTGAAATAGTGAAATTAAGTGTAATTGATTGGAGATGGATTAGTACAACCTCCTAGAGAAGGATTATGTAGAAAATTCTTAGGCCCATTGGTCTTAAAGCACCAAACAGGAGTTTCAACTTTCAACCCTCAATATAGTTAGTATGGCTATTTTTTCTGTTTTATGGTTTGCTCCAATATATTCTTAGGCTATTTTTGGTTTAAAGGAAAAGATAGGGAAAGGAAGGAAAATGTAGAGAAACCTTTTTTTACTTTCTTTCCCTACTTTTTCCTTCAAGTCAAACACAACTTAAGGGTTAGGTCATATCCCCCTAGAGCTACAAGGGGTTTGGATTAGGCTTTTGTCAAAATTTGAATCACCCACCCCCAAAGCAGTGTAAAGTATTAACTCAAGCCAACCCAAATTGCCACTCCAGATTTCCTGCTACCCACAATTTTCTACCCGCCTTAAATTGCAGCCTACATCGCCATATAGTGAGATGTGTAGCTGCAGCAGTGTACTGTGAGTAGGGCGTGGGTAGAGAAAGTAGGAAATCTGGGTTCCCAAATTGCACCCCCTAATACCCTCTCCCAGTGATTATCAATACAGTTTCCTTTATTTTGAAAAGAAACGGTTATTCTATTTATCATCCAAGACAAGATCTCTAGACATGATTTCTGGACTACCCATAAAGGCCATCGAGGCTCAAAAGATCAAAGTGATCAACGAACAAGAGTTTATAGATACTTTCAACATCACCCTCAAAAAAAAAAAAAAAAAAAGAATTCTAATCAACATAAATGACATCTGATGTTGGCACATCGCAGTAAAGAACAAAAGAAGAAAGACGACAAAGGAAGTGAAGGAGTGATGAGAAACAAAGAGGCTGTTCGACTCAAGTGTGTTCAAACAACTTCAAAGAACGTTCTCTCTAATGTATACCATGTTCATGTCCTCAGGCAACTTCCAGGAACCTTCAGTCTGCTATACTGAAATGGGTCACTCTCATGTCTTTTAGTTTTCTCTCCTCCAAGTCCACCACGACAGCGGCCCACCATTTCTTTATGAAAAAGCCTCAGGTCAGTTGGTCAGCAAGAATAGAAGTAATTTCAGCTAGCTTTTATATATCTGACAGGTCTCCATCACCTACAGAGAAGTTTCTTCAGCAGTTCTTTCTTATATTATCTGTAAATTTTAGGAGTTAAGTGGATTATGTGGAATACTTTATCGATGCAAGAGGAATCTTCCCTTCAAGTTATCAACATGATCTTTGACGTTTGATGCTTTGATGAACAGCCAAAGAATAAAACTAAGGTGGTGACAATTAAGCTTCGAAAAAGAATCTTTCTTTCATCCTCAAGGGCATTGTTCTTCTCATTATAACCTACAGAGTTCTGGAAAATCCACAACAATGCTGGATTTGAACATGAACTTTGCAACCACAAGGACAAATATTATTGTATGAGACTTTGTGTGGCTCATTTGGTGGAGCTTCAAGAGGTAATTTAGAATGAGAGGATAAGGTTATTTGATTAAAACATGTAAAAACCCATAAATTATTAATTATCCTTCACATAAAATTCAAAGTATTATTATATTCAACATCTGATATATATATATATATAAGGTTTATATGCTTTCTAACAATATGCGAGTTGAGAAGGGTCAGATTTAACTTAATATCTGTATCCATACCTGTATGGGTTGTAGAATCCCAAAACCCGTTCCCGCCTTAAAACCCATAATTCAAACAAAAAACCCACCCTATTAGGCCGGGTAAGAACAACCGTGTACCCACTGTCTAGGATTAAAGTTGCCATGCGGAGAAAGGTGTATTGCTAGAAATTTTAGTGTGCATGGTTACTTTGTATTTGCCTTCAGCAACTAATTATGTTTATAGTACCAATATAGTGGTGTTCGGATTGATCCTGGATGGCTTATGTAATGGAACTAGCCTAGGCCATTATTAGAGTGATTCCCAATCTAAATATTATCTGGAAAAGACAAAATCCACCCTAGTCTTTAGGGCTGTCAACAATGGATAGGTTCTATCCAACATATCCGAACTGTTTGAACCGACTATATTGGTTTTGGTTTTTTAATTTTGTCCATATTAATAATTAGTTCAGTTCTGATTCTTGCTTGTTCTGAATTGATTCAGACCTGAACTAATTATTTTGTTAAAAATATATAAAAAGGTTCTTCTTTTATAATTTTTATTATATTTTATATGTAAAAGTGTAAATTTGATAGATGAATTTTAAGATAATTTTGATTAAAAACACTTGATTTATTAATTTATAAATAATTTATTATTTTACTATTATTTTTATTAAGATTTATCATCAAAAGCCAAGTTTTAGGTTGTTATTTATTTAAACAATTATAGCTATGATCTGTATAATCGGGTCAGATTCGATTATATTGATTATTAATTGAGATGGTTAGGGATCTACAGGTTTTGTCCCAATTAATAATTAGAATGTGAATGTCTGAATGATACAGATTATCCTGAACCAGACCCGACCCCACTAGTCTTACTTCGCCATTGGTGTTAACCAGCTTATTAACACCATTGCAAACCGTTTTTCTTTTTGGTAGAACAAGGAATAAAAATAAGAGAAAATTGCACTAGAGAAAGGCTAGCAGTCCCCCATAGATCCAAGCAACACAAGTGCTTCAAGTTATAAAAAAATATATATATAGCGTTGAGGGAGGTTTCTCCCGTGTTGTCCATATGGGCCAACCAGTCTACAGCTTGATTTCCTAAACAACTAGTTCTGCTTATTCAGCCAAAGAACAATATTCTTAAACTAACAACAGCATTGCTTCCTTCGCTATAGATATATCAAGAACAAGAACAGGATGAAACACAATTCTTTGCCGACCATTTATGTAATACAATGACATCACAACATATCTAATCTTCCTCTAAGAGCCAGGGTAAATTTTCATGGAGAAAAATACAATTACTTAATACTAGCGGGGATCCGTGCAATGCATGGGAAATCTAAAAGATTTAATAATTTTATTTACTATTAATTAATAATCAAAATTTATTGTTAATTGACTAAAAGTATTCAAAGTTATTGTTAATATCTATAATTTTAATAATTATATTTTTTATTTAATGTTGATTTATAGAAAATAGTTATTGTTAATTTAATATGAATAAATATTTTTATTAAATTTAGTTATATTAATAATTTGTAATAATTAATAGTTTTATTAATAATTTATAATAATTGTTATTATTTTAAATGAAATTTCAATTAACTTTAAATAAATAAAAATAATTACAAAAGCTAACATTTTTTATTAATTTTACTAATAATTAACAATTATATAGGAATGACAATGGAGTGGGTTTAGGGCGGGGCACCCCATCCCTATCCCTGCCTCATAGTCAAGATACTTTACTCCATCCCCACCCTGTCCCCGTGTGTCAGGCAGGTTCAGGGCAAGGCAACCACTCCTCAATGTCAAGCGATCGAGTTTAAAGGCAAGGCACCCCACTCTTCATTAAGGATGGAGAATCCTCGAATTTCCTTGCTCCGTCCCCAGTATTAGGCGGGTTCAAGTAAAGGTATAAATCAGGTTGTGCTGCGCCGGCATGGCACAACTCGCATGTGGCCCACATAAAGTGTGGGTTGTGTCGTGTTGGCCCATGGGGCATCTTGGGTCATGCCTCCCCCCCAGAATAATTTGGGGGGTTAGTTCAGAACGGCCAACGGCCCGAGCCCACACGGGCCCGTGCCATACTGTGGGTTGGGTTGGTTCATGTGCTGAGCC